AAAAAAAAAAAAAAAAATAAAAAAAAAAAAAAAAAAAAAAAAAAAAAAAAAAAAAACGCGTACGATACCTTTTTTTCACATACTCTCATTTCCTTATTCTCGCATACCCCGTTATACACGGGATACGCAGGACACACATGTCTATGCACAAGGACCCCCTTGGGGTTTTGAAAACAAGTGTGTAGTAAAATCATAAGGGTAATAAATGCCGTTAAAAGGGTAGTAAAAAAATTTTTTCTCCAACTAAACTTAAAAAATAAAAAAAATACGGAAGAAAAGTTTTCTTCTCATTTTTTTTTCGCATGTGGACATTTCGACAATATTTGCTTCTCTGTCTCCTAGAGCACTTTTTCATGTCCGTACTACTACTATCCACTGGTTTCTCTTTCTTCTTCCCCTCCCCTCTCCCTTCTTCTTCTTCGTCTCATCGTCACTTCTGCTGGATAAAAGTTTAGTAACGAGCTCGTAAGCCTCGACGTGAGAAAACGTTAAAACGTTACAAATGAGATATCTTTTCTCCGGGGAAAAAAATTTAAAAGTGCACTCTCTCTCTCTCTCTCTCTCTCTCTCTCACGCACGTCTTCCTCACGTTAAATCTACGAAAATTCCGATATACCTAATATGTATAGTTTAATAGTCTTCTTGGTAACACGCACTCGCACGACGCTTTTTCTCGCAGAAAAATAACAGATGTATATATATATTTATATATGTATATATAATATATATATATGCAGGGCGTAACACAGTTCACGTATAACGAACGCGCGCGCGATATGATACATTATAAATTACGTTGAGAATGAAATTTTAAAAAATATCATAATCATCCAACTTCTCAATGCAGGACTTACGCTGTAAGTTGAATATTCGTTATAACATTTTTTTTCTATCTACTGTATGCGCAGTCAAGTTGCGGTAGTCGCAACTTTCACGTGCATTCAAAATTGTAATAGTGAAATAATTTTTTTAAATTAATAATTTGAATTTTTATTTTAATTATGAATCATATTGTTGACTTTACTTCATCAAAGTGTGTCGCCTGACGTACGTGGTAATTGAATTTTTGTATACAACTGCCAAACTAAACGGGCCGAGTATCGTTAAGAAGCGTGCAGGTCCGGCATTGAAAAATGGACGATTAAATATTTCGAAAATACATTCCTCTTCGTGCGGTTTCTCATGTAAGAATACGCAGTACGTGTCTATTATTCGAAAACTATCAGACACTCCGCATATCATGTTTAGATTGATGCCAAGACACGAACGGGAAGAGCATAATATCGCGACGTTTTTAGTGACAGCTAATGTTCCTTCATGGATTCTATTTTCCTTGAATTTTAAAGTGAACGCGTTGGTCCGTGACTCTAGCCAAAGCCCGAGGATCTTGCAACCATGTACAATTTTTTTCCACCCCTTAAAAATCACAAAATATCCAACCTCCGGTTATCACTCTGACAAGAGCTTTCGCCTTGTTGACCTGTGACATGCAGCTTTCAGCTGGCTGATCCCACGCATGCAAAAAGTTTAACACACGAGAATTCACGCTTTTTCCATTTACCGTTTGCCAATTAGCGAAACGCCCATTCGTCGAAGGAACGTAAGACGAGACGGTAAAATGGAAAGGAAAGAACGGACAGTGAAAAAAAACCTAAAAAAAAAAGGGAGAAAGAAGGTAAGGTATAAAGGAGCAAGAGAAAGAGAAGGAAGCACCCCAGTCGCGAACCAACGCGGTAGATAAAGGCTTCTACATTACCGACGGATGACCTTGATACGAGGTTTGAATAAACCGTTACGAGAAATAAGCTCCTAGTACACGATACCTTCTTTAAAATCATAACTCGCAGGTTACTTAAATCGAAATCTGTTCGATGACTCGAGTGTGTTAGTTGCGTTGTCTTAATTGTCGCTTCTGCCTTTTCAATCGGCGCGTCACAGTCGCTTTTTCCATCAAGAACGTAATTTCAACATCGGCCTTATCGATACACTTGGTAATGATTTGCGTTTTGAGGTTAAGATCGCTTCGCGGATACGCCTCGAATTGCCTTGGAATTATTTTTCATGTTCACGCCGATTGATTAGAAGTTGGCGATTTTATATTTTTCTTCTCCTTCTTCTTCTTCTTCTGTCATTCTCTCCTTATGTCTTTCTCGCCGAATAATATACTAATTCAGATAGAATTAACTGCTTGCACTCGGCGCTCGTGGCAAGCACTTCGTACAATAGAAGCGTATGTGGTTCGTAACGATACATTATACAATTAAGTAGAGGCTAACGCTTAGTTATTGTTACCTTTATGTACGATTATATCTCGACACAACGAATATTATCTAGATATAAATCTAATCGCGCGCTTTCCTTTTTTTTTGTTTTTACGTTACCGAAGAACGTGGGTACGATTTTTCTCTTTCTCATTTATTCCTTTTCGTCTTCTCTCTCTCTCTCTCTCTCGCTCACGCAACACAGCCACATACGGCACACATAGAGACCTACGTGCGCATCACCCTCTCTCTCTCTATCTCTCTCTCTCCCTCTCTCCTTCTAATCTTTAGTTGGTTGTACCACTTACATTACTTAGTCTCAAAAGATATTAAGATTCATTCACTCGTTCGTTAATTAATTCATTCGTTCGTACAGCCATTCGTCGCATAGCGTAAACGCATTTAGTAAAGTTGTGCGGATTTAAAAATAATTTCTTCGCTCGGCTGTTTGAATTTCAAAAATAATCCATCATCTACAATATATACTCTTGCGCGTCCCTGCTGGACCTTTCATTTGAGTTTACCAAGTGTCATGGCAATTTATGGGGGAAAAAAAGTAACGTTCACCGGTCACCTGGCTTTTTTTCTCTTTTGTTTTTTTTTCCCTTTTTCTCTTTCCTTCTCCCTTCGTTCTGTACATAATAATGTCTCTCTTCGTCGCTAACTGTGCACCTCTTACGCACTCTTATTACTAAAATATATAAAGCGTAAAAGATACGAATCTCGTGTCTCTTTCATCTAACACTATAAAACGTACGAAATGAGGGTTTTAAAAGCATTTCGCGCGTATTTACGGCCGACTTAAAAACAGGTTAAAAGTGTCGACGGCTCCTATAATTATACAGCTGAGACTTTAAAACTTAAGAGAAATCTGAAAAGAGCAACAGCCCAGCTAAGTAGAATACATTTTGGAAGAACAGACAACATTTTTCCATTTTTTGTTTTGCTTTTATCTCTTACTCACATTCATTCGCTCTCCCTTTCTCTCTCTCTCTCTCTCTCTCTCTCTCGTCCATGCTCGCATCTATCTTCCTCTCTCTCGCGGATATCTCACACTTATATATCGGAATAGAGAACGTCCAGTTCCCCTCACATTCATTCGCTCTCCCTTTCAGCCCAGCTAAGTAGAATACATTTTGGAAGAACAGACAACATTTTTCCATTTTTTGTTTTGCTTTTATCTCTTACTCACATTCATTCGCTCTCCCTTTCTCTCTCTCTCTCTCTCTCTCTCTCTCGTCCATGCTCGCATCTATCTTCCTCTCTCTCGCGGATATCTCACACTTATATATCGGAATAGAGAACGTCCAGTTCCCTCAGCGTTATCACACATTAAATCCGCAAAAGGAAGCACCTAAACGAAGTGCCGCCCGATTGTCAAGAAGACACGCGTAGCAGCTTCTGATAATCAATTAGCTAGAGCGTAAGATTGAAAAATTTTGAAATTCTCCAAAGAAAAAGAGATTTGAGATCGAGCAACGTCGATGCTTCTGGACGAGATACGCTAATGAAAATTTTTACAGCGCCGTTTGATTGTGCTAAAAAGTTACATTGGAACAATTAGAAATTTCGCGTCTGCGAGTAACAAGTTGATTTGACAGGACAAAACCAAATTGGCTCGTTTCCTATTGTCTAGGAGTATTTTACACACATCGCCCATTCGAATCGATACTGGAAAAATTCATGTCATAATTTAACTCGACCAAACCAGACACAGATCATCGTCAAACGTTCGCTCGTGGAATTGAAATCAAAATACATCGAATTTTCTTTTTTTTGGTCGCAACTAATCAAATCTTATGATTTGAAAAATTGTTTCTATGCTATTGATCGAATTCGCAACTGCTACGGTTTCTAATGATCAAAGCGTACATAAAACCCATAGGCAACGTATCCACCTAGAAATAGCGAATCAATATCGCTAAGTATTGTTGAGACACACGTCAAGTGAAGACGATTGGAAGTGGTGGGTCCCGTGGAAGAATTGAGACTATCAGGGTCGATAAAGTAGGGATCAGTAGGGTCTAAGACTGAGAAGAAAATTGTTTGTCTCTAGTAGGAAAAAAAAAAGCAGGTCATTCCTGTCTGTAAGCGAAGCTATAGTGATAGGGAGGATTGGGAGTAGCGGATTGAGACTGTCTCTGTTACAAATGAACGTGTCTCTCTACGTGGGAAAGGGAAAGCAGCGAGGCAGGAAAAAATATTGACAATCCCAGTAATGATTGGCGGGACGATCAATAGTAGAAATCTAGTCCTGGCAATTTTTGTTGTTGTTTTCCTTATGAGTGAAACAAGAGCAACGAAACATTACGGAAATGTATTACTACAATATTTACAGGCTACGATTTGGTTTATTTCCGTCCTGTCTGTGTACGCTTTGCTCGTGAAATCGTACTGTTGACTTTTCGGGTCGCTTTCGTGATTTTCTTTTTGTTCTCAGACGACTGCGTGGAAATCCAGATATACTCGCGGACGCGCTTCTTCTATTCGCGTTTCCAAATATTTGTTAACTCCATCGACTTTCTTGATAATTTTCGACTTTTCGCAAGGGACCCTTTTATACAGGTTTTATACAGGTTTTCTTCAAATTGTCAGGGAGAATTTTTAAGATGAGGAAAACGAAGAAAAAAAGATGGATATGGGTAACGTCTTGAAAAACTTTCACGTATAGCAGCAATAATTACAGTATTTTGTAATTATTGAAAGAACAGAAATATCGCGAGATAACGTAAAAACAAGGAGACGAAAAGATTTTAATACTTAATGGTATAACGATCGTTGTAATACCGAATTGATAAAAATTTCGAATAAATGAAAGAAATAAAATAATGTGAAGGCAAACGTTAGATAACGATGGTAGCAGTAATACCGACGTGGAATAATACCGAAGAAAAATTGAAAAAAAAAAAAAAAAAAAAAAAAAAAAAAATATACAAAGGAGGAAACAGGGAGGGCGTGGGAAAGAATTAATAATACTTGGCCAGATGAAGGAACGATGAGGTTCGAGGGCTTTGGCTCTCTTTAAAAAATAAATCGTCGTCAAAGACCATTTTGTAAAAATTAAAAAAAAAAAAAAAAAAAAATATACAAAGGAGGAAACAGGGAGGGCGTGGGAAAGAATTAATAATACTTGGCCAGATGAAGGAACGATGAGGTTCGAGGGCTTTGGCTCTCTTTAAAAAATAAATCGTCGTCAAAGACCATTTTGTCTACGTAAAAAAAAAGGCACGCAGCGAAAGCGATCACTCGAGCGTTAAGAAAGAAAGATTAAATGAAAACTAAAAATTAAAAAAAAAATGAATGCCCGAAAAAAAAAGTAGTGTACTCCAAAGAGCCACGTATAAAAGGACAGTCTTCGATACGGAATGCATTCAATAATTATTAAATAATAGAATGGAAGTTCAAATGTCTCACGTTGAGCTGACTTTTGGGCTTCGTGCTTGCGTCGCGGCAGGGACACTGTGAAATAAAAAGATTAAGAGAATAATGAGAATAAAGGCGTATCCACATTATGTCGCAGGCTAAACGAAGTCGTCGTCAGCTCAACGTTATTGCGTGGAGTCAACAAATTTAAAAACCTACCTAAGTCGATTTTTCTAATTTTAAGTTACTAGCAACGGCTTACCGATACAAGCGGAAGTATGAGTCGTCGAAGGAAGCGCAAGCGCGCATGCGCACAAGATAGCGCCGCTATCGCTAGCTACGCTGATTACGGTTGGAGTAGCTCGTATCAGCTGGCGTAGTTTAGAAGCGTGGCTGCTGCTGTTGCTGCTCGTCGGAGATCGTCGCTGGTCATACCATCACCATGTCCTCGTCGACGTTGATGATTGTAGGAAAAGCGTTGTCCGCCGAGCTCTGCCTTTGAATCGGCTTCTTCCTCAAGAGAGCGTCTGCGAGGAGAATCAAGGATATCGGTCGGAGCGCTTTGCTGATGTCGAGATGATTGACATCGTTCTTAAGAGAATTAGCTATCGTTAAGAATACGGTTATTGAAGAAGGTAACGTTAATCACCGGCCGTAGGGGGTACGAGATCATCGAGAGAACCGTCGTCCAGGTCGTCGTCCGACGGAGCTCTCGTGAGACTCGGTAGAGTCGAGGTGAGCAGGGCCTTCTCTTTCTGAATCTCCTGGATATGGTCGACGAGTAGAGCCTCCTCCTCGTCCCCTCGATCACGATCCCGTTCAGCATCCGGACCTCTGGACGTCGCGCTCTGTGCAGCTACGCTCAATTCTTCTGGACTGAAGATCTTCGAAGATCGAAGACTCGACAAACGATGAGTCGCCGTATGACAGGCTGATTCGAGAGTATTGATATCGGCGAGGGTCGCTCTTACTACACGCAGCTTTTCCTGCACGATAGTCTCAACGCACCGGGTCTGCCGGCCGACATCCTGGAGCGAGTCCTGTGCCGGGAGGGTTCTGTTGGTTCTCAGAATGCACGGTGCAAATACTATAGCCAAGGCTGAAGGTGACATTCGATTGTCAACTTCGTGAAGGGCGACCCGCGCCAAGTGAACTATGAGACGTTCCATAAGGTCGAAATTCGGTTTGGGCAGCTTCTTCAGTATTGCGAAGAGAGTGCATATTCTATCGTGCGGATCTGTCAGATTACCCGCGTGCAGGAAATCGTCGTAATACTCGAATGTAAGCAGAGGCTCCGGCATGTCCCTGAAGAAGCTCTTCAAGACGGCGGCCAGTACGTGGACTTGATAATTCTTGAAGTCGACTTTCTCCAGCTCGCCCTCGTCCATTTTCATCTTGAGTTCTCTTACTTTTGAGCTTACCCCACTTTTACGGTATATACCTTCTGTATAGAGGCCGTGCATTTCAATAGTAGTAATCAATCGATCCACTACCAGAGGAACCTTCCCATCGCCACAATCAAGCTTGTACAAAGGAATACCGAAAACCTTTCTGGAGTTGGCATCGTGTATGGCGCCTTCCTTACCGCAATCTGCCGCAGCCTTTGTGTAGCACTTTTTGTGACAGGTCAGCTTGCAGTCTACGATTAATGATGTATTTCGTTATATAGTGGTTTATGATGAATTTAATAAAAAAAAAAGGGCAAATAATATAAAGAAGAATGACTATGATACTCACTTTGACAAACGAGGCCACGCTCGATCGGCCACATGAAGAACGAAGTGCAGACTTCGCAAGCGGTTGGGATGTTTATGATAGTCAACTGGAATAGATGATTTCCATGATGAATGGGCTCCTCTTGCTTCCGTTTCTTTTCCTTTTTCCGTTTGCTCTTGCTCTGCTTCTCCGGAGCCTCAGTCTTAACCAGGGTCATGAACTCGTTCATGAAACCTCGAAAGGCATTCACTCCCATGGTAACAGGAAAGTCTTCGCTGGTGTTTTCTTGCTTGCAGACGGTCTCCATTACGTGAAGGAAATTGGCTATAAGATCAGTGTACTTGATATTTCCTTCCACGCCTTGCTGAATGGCGACGCTGTACGTAATTACTAAATCGTCTTTGAATTTTCGTAACGCTTGCTTGAATACTCTGTCGACTTCGCTTGGTTTGCGTCCCTCCTCCTGACCTTGCATCTTGTAAATTTTCTTCGTAATGAAGTCTTGCATGAGCGCCAACTCTTTAGCGTCGGAAATTATGTTGTCGGTACTGTCGGAGAACGCCGACGTTCCTGTCAAACTGAACTTGGAAGTCACATTCTGTTTGTTCGTGTCGTACGGCGTTCTTGGCGGCTTTCGATTTTTCCTTCTATTAGGCGTATTCGCCAAGAGACATGGCATCTTAAGCACAATACCGTTCTGAATGCAATTTACGTGGTAGAGCTGTTTACAATCAACGCACTTGTAGCCTTGATTAGCGAAAGCGTCCACTTTCTTCTGACAGCAAACGCCGACGTCGTCCTTAGAAAATCTTGCGACCTTCCTAAAGCGGTGCCCGGCTAAAGTAAAGGGAGTGTTACCCTTCCATTCGAAAAGATTCAATCCAGGCGCAAGTTTTAATTCGTTCGGACTCGTGTCTGTTCCCGATGACTTGCCCTCGTTCAGAGCAGATATTTTTGTCGCTGGATCCGAGTTCCTCCTACGTAACTCAAGACTCGTTATTGCATTCGACCTGACACGTTTTCCAGGTTGTTGGCTCTTGTACATCGACTCGTTCTCGTTGACAGGCCAATCGGTCACCGACCTCGAGGTCGATTCGTACGAACAGTCTTTCCTTGCCCAAAAGTTTGAGGTTTTGTTCAAGTCGCTTTCCTTGATCGTCCCGAGGAAGAGATTCCTCGCCTCTGCTGTGCTGGTCTCCGACACGCTTTCTCCCATCGATCGACATTGAACTTCTCTCGATGGCCTGTTCTTTCGGGCACTTCTTACAGGAACATCTGGCTCTGACTTTGAATTCTCCTTCGCGTTCCAATTCTTATCCTTGATCGTCGAAGATGATTTAAGGGAACCTTTACCAGGATCCCCATCATTCGTCAACTCAATCTTGCTCGATGTATCTCCTTCGGAATTTTGTCTTCGTAAAAACTTAAAATCTCGAACATCCTTAATGGGACTATAATTCTGATCCCGTCTAGACGTATCTGGAATGTTCTCAGTGCGATCATTAGGCATAGAGTGATCACTGAGCCTCCGTTGTTCTCTACCGGCTGAATTTTCTTTTTTAATAAATCTCTCAGAGGAGTCGAGCTTAACATTAAAATTGGATGTCTCATTGACTAATCTATCTAATCTAGAGTGATCCAACAAATTCTCATTGAGGTTCATGTATTGAGACACATTTGGTGAACGAGTCACTGTCGCTTTCTGCGGTAACGGCGGAATCATATACTCGCTGTAGTTTCCAGAAGAGAAATCGGCTCTTCTTCGCCATATATCAGCATTTGGACTGTGAGTCAAATTGAAGCTTGGATGATACTTCGTTTCTCGCGGGCTGGGAAATGTCGGTGGAGTATTAAATACAGGCGGTGCACTCTGTACGCCTAGTGGAGTCTCAACGTCTGTCTCGCCATCACTGTAGCCAGTCGATGAACTGTCTGTACGTTTGCCAATAGAAGAGACTCGACTGGCGTTCATGAGGTTCGTATTAACGGCAACCAGAGGAGTCTGATCAGCTCTCTTGGTCCTAGCGCTTGGAACTGGTTTGGCATTACAGCTCACGATATTCTCTTGGGAGTAATGTGACTCGGAGCTGTCTGCGCTCACTTGAGATTCGTAACTACGTAAGCTCGCCAAACTCTCTAAACTGCCCTTACGCTCTGTTAAGTCATCCGGGTAGAAAGATTCTGTAGATTTGGGTGTTACGCTTGTGTCGTTTAACGAGCGTTTCGTAGGAGTTAACTTTCGTTTCGAATAAGAAATCCCAGCCTCGATCAGGGCTTCTCGGTTCGTTTCGTTCAACCTGCACAATAGAAAATTCAATCAGGATATTAAATCAAGAATATTATCATATTGAATTACCTTACGGGAGGTGTGATACGTTCATGAGACTCTCGTCTGTTTGGCGAAATTGTAGATGATTTAACTGGAAGAGTTCGCGACGGTAGAAGCCCGACGGTCTTCTCTTCGTCTTCGTTCTCAGGACATCTCGAGTATCCCTTGTCCTCGTACTTGCTCTCATCCGCATCCGTCTTGTCAGAAGCTTGTCCTTCGATCTCTTTGCTGGTCTGGAGTTCAGCAACGCGCTCCAAGCGTTTCTTCTTCTTCAATTCAGCAAATGCTCGTCTGGCACTGTTACCACGAACGTAAGCCTGAAAGGTAACTACGCATGACTTGAGTTTCTTGAACCAGCTGTGCTGCTTGTGAGCCTTCCACGCAGCTTGGATATGAGTTGCCGCTTCTATTCGAGCTCGTAACGACTGGGCGATCCTTTGAGCATTGACCATCCGCCAGAAAGCCTGTATCTGTACCACAGCATTTTTTATCCTTAAAAATTTTCTTCTCTCCAGACAGGCCCGGAACCATTTCTGTATCGTCGTGATGCTCGTGATGATCTGTTGATGTAGCTCGATATCAAGCTTGATCTTTTCAGATTCTCTAAGGAAGACCTTCGTTGTGCCAAGCTGATAATTATCTCTGTCGAGATTCAAAGTAAGGAGGAAATCTCTGACGTCCGATTGCGAGCTGAGCAATCCTTTTGGTAGCAACATTCTATAGAGCTGAATGAACTCCTCGTACGTTAATCGCACATTGAATCCCGCTTGTCGGATTCTTACTGTCTCTAGCATACCCGTATATCTCAACTGACGTTGAACAGTTTCCTCGTCGAATTCGTTCGGTACTTTGTTCGCGTTGCTCTTTATACAACGTATAAAAAAAGGATTGGCTTGATTAAGAGTATCCATTAGACTGTGAAGACTTTGTTGAAACTGGGCTGAAACTGTCATGGGCTGTTTTCTGGCTTTCCCGGGTCCGCCGGTTCCATAGCTCTGAGTTCTTCCTGCTAGTGTTTTCACCGTTTGAAGATTCTTCAGGCCCTTCTTGCCTCGTTCGCGCGGACGAAACGATTTGTTCTTCCTGAAAGAGAATTCAAATTATGAGACCCATTCGCAGGACCGTCAAGGGACAGTGGCGCTGTCAGCCCTTTTCTTGGTTAAAGAGCTACCACAAATGTTATTTGACATAAAAAAGAATTTCTATCAGCCCCTACACCAAGAAAAAGAGTTACACGTCAATACTCTGACATCGTTCAGAATGTCATGAGACACTTGCTTCATGAAACAATCTATTTATAAGCAACAGTGTAAAGAACGCTAAGAAGCATGTAAAATTAAATGCAATTTTCCGTTTCCCAGTAACAATAAATAAAATTGAAGTCTTTGACCATAGTCAACGTCCTTTTGAATACCACGAGTAGCTTGACGACGCAGTGCATAGAAGCGATTACAACGTTATACAGTAACAATAGCTACTCGTTTGTACGATTATGAGATTAAAGTTCCAAGCCCAAAATTATAAACATCAAGTTCGATTGACACGACACGAAGGCATGCAAATCAAGTAGAACCACAGAGTACGGGTAAGTCAAAGACGATTTTATAAGATGAAATAATACAGTGCACCCCTGAAATAAATAATCAGAACATTTGTATTAGCTACAGACAGAAAAAGGATAATCAGCATGCAGATCTAATTAAAAGATGAACCATACCAAGAATTAAGAATCGAAGGAGCAAGCAAATGATTATGAGGAAGGATAGGTGACGAGTGATTGGATGAAAGATTGAAAACGTGAGTATGCGATGAGGTCGCAAGTGCCAAGGTGTAAGTGGATGACAGGATGAGTATCGAAAGGAGTGAATAACGGGGAATGCAGGCGTAACAGCAACTGCCGTGAGGCAGGTTGAAGTCACGATAAAGGAGCCCTCTGGTGGGAAGACCGTAATTTCCTACGATAATGCGATTACTTAGAAAAACAGAAACCCTTCACCATTAAGGACTATGGAGCATACGCTATTTATCGAGTCTGGGACAGCGAAAGCTCGTGTAGGCAAATTACATTGTTTATCGATACCGTGATACGTTTTTACATACATGACGATCTGATTAGCGCGTTCCATGACGTTAGCTTCGTCTTTTGGAAGCACCCTCTCTAGCGGCGTGTGAGAATCCCGCCTGAACCTATTATTACTATTAGGTTGGTCCTCCCTTCCCCTTATAACGTAACCCTTCGTTGCTGTGAGATTGGTTGGGTGTTGCGTCTGATTAAGGTTTCTAAATTGCGGCCATGACAGCCGGTTGTTGTTTAGACTGTCGTTGTTTTCAATTTGTGTGCAGGTTAATGTGGCGTTCGTGGCTGCTGTTGGCAAGCAGACACTGCGCTGCTTCTGATAGCTTGGCGGGCGAGTATGTTTGTGAGAACTGAAAAATGCTTTCATGCTTAGGCTGTTTCGTCGATGAAAATTTTCCTGCCCGATTACCAAGTGCCTCGTATCGTTCGCCCTTATTGGCTCTCGATCTTCTTTTGCGAGCTATTTTTCTTTATTGTCTCTTCCTTGCGACTGGGACATGCAATGTAAACTTATGAGCGGAAGGATACTGATCAGGAGACGACTGGGAAGGTTTAGAGCGCTTTTGGCATTCGAAACTCGCATCACGCTATATAATTCACGATCCGAGCAGCAATAGCTATTTGGATTGGAATTTCGATTTTTTTTTTAACGCGTGAGGCGCTCATGCTAGAGATTATGTGTACGTGTGGAGAACGATGTATCGAGAGAGTGATAAGATGTTATGACATGGCGAGAATCGTGAAACTTGCATTGTATTCGTATCTAAGACGGGGATGGTGCGAACATTCACTTGAAAGGTTTTTAAACGAAAAATCTGGTGAACATTCAGTAATTCTCCAGTTACATTATATGGATTTACAAGTTGATAGTTAATCTTTCTTTGAATCTAGTTCTTGTCTCTGTCTCTAATTTTTTTTTCTCTCTATAATAATGCCTTGATTAAATTTTTGCATCACGTCCCAAATTGCATATGTTAAAGAAATTATTGACTGTATCGATCCTAGTTGACCGGTTTGGACGTTTGTCGAGTCACGTGTGAGATCAACACGGTAAAAAGATATTTAAAAAAAATTCCGTTGTAAATCCATAATAACTCAAACACAACGAAACTTAACGTTGTTAGAGAAGACACAAAGATAGTGGATCTAAGGACCACTTACGCAATTCTGTTAATAGTTAGATTGACGGCCGATAACGTCACAAGATGGCTATAGGGACAAAAGACAAGTGAGGCAATGTAAACGTAATCGACAATTTGTTAAAGCTATCGAACATAAATATTCTAACATTTCTTTTTCATTACTGTTATAATGTTCGCATGGCCTTGTTGTTTGATGGTAGGTAAAATTGAAAGACACGAAGGGAATGTTTTTCGTAACTTGAGTGCCCGCGACAATTCGCTTCCATTGATGAAGCTGATAACTTTATGACGTAGGTAGCGTTACTGGGTACGATTCACGAGAATCCACGTTTTAACGAAAAAAAAACAAAAAAAAAACAACTTTCTAAAAATAATATAAATGAAATATCTACGTATAAAAACTCACCTTATCAAGTTCTCGTTAGGCGTTCTATATCTGTTTTGTACGGATGTCTTGTTGCCGTCAGCTGAAAGAAATACATATTTTGTTTAGACGTTCATTTATAATAACACATTAAGAAATGACCTAAGCATAGTACGTAGTTACAGAGAAATTAAAAGCATACCTCTACCGTGTCTATGTGCTCGACCTGCCTCCTGGAATGCGAAATGTGCGCGAAAGAAGGCTCGAAGAATGGCCCATCTGAAGACAGCAACTGGATCAGCGCCGACCAACTCTCTTACGAAAGCTAAAGAAGAGTTCTTGAGGACACCGACAACGCCATCTGGTCGCATAAGGTCTAAATTTTTCTCTCTCATGTTGGAAGCTTGATACTTCACTGAACCGGCATAATGGCGAACAACAAACGCAGATTCTCGTCGCTGCGGGGCCTCGTAGAATGAATTATCTTTGTGTACCGAATTGAATTTTTGCAGTAACGTTTCGTTCGTCGCTCCGGGAAAGCTATTGGACCCAAAAGTTAACATAAATTATCTCATTTCAATGTTGGTTATTAAGAAATAATATTAATAGAGAGAGGAACACTCACTTGCACTGATCGTCAAGTAGACAGAGGAGGCCGTTCGGTTTGCCCTCAATGAGGTTGAGACAACCAGAGTTATCGCTATAACCTATGTCTGTCCATCTGATGCCTTGTTTGCGATATTCTCGTTGTTCATATTGAAACACATGCTGATTGAAGTAATGCTGAAGCTGCTCATTTGCATAGTTGATGCAGAGCTGTTCAAAGCTGTTACACGTTTTGAAGTCTTCGAAGCCAAAGATGTCTAGCACTCCTATACTGTTTCCTTGGTGGTCTCGAAATGTATCTTTTTTCGAGAGCAGGGCATGGTTGACCTAAAGATGAAATGTTAGTCGTGCATAGATTTGACTTAGGAGATAAAATGCTTACTTGAAGAACAATCCAGTCGAACAAAGCACCGTACAAACACTTGGCCATCGCATCTCTCGCAGCTATAGCTTCCGGAAGTCTGTAGTTGATAACTAAAGTCTCCCCGGAAGCTCGTGCACGCTTGGCAGTTAACGCAGCCAAAAGTGTCTCCTGTTTTACACGTAGCAACTCCGATATGATAGCAACTACTTCAGGATTTTTAACACCCACAGCTTCATCGTGATGATGATACGATTTTCTTGGCTGAAACTCCACGTTGCCTGAAATGCAATTAGGAAATGAAAGTATGAATGTGAAAGGAAGAGACGAATGAACAAATGAATTAGTGGAACAAGACACGTCTACTCACCAAGCAACAGAACGGCTGAGAGCACTGCAAAGAGACGTCTCTGCTTTTCAGGAGTAAATCCAACCATCTCCATGGATTGTTTGAGTCGCGAGAATTCATGACATTCGTCAATATTCTCGAGGCCGTAACAACCACTTTTATTTAGATAGTTGTAACGATCGTAACTCTCGAGGTGCAATACCTGTCTCTCAGACTCACTGGCTCCAGCCAAGAGATAATAAAAAACATGGTAGTTGCGCTCATTTCTTCCTTGCGAAACAATTCTCGATTTTTCCAGAAGGTACTTCTGTACGACGGCACTGCGGTTTAAGATAATAAATTATTATCGTATGTTGCTCGCACAATAACGTCAAAAACATTATTTTTACAAGAAATAGGTTTGCAGCTTACCCATGCACCATGCCATTTTCCTTGTAGTTTACTTGAATGAATTTACCGAAGCGACTGCTATTGTTATTGTGAGCAGTTTTTGCGTTGCCAAAGGCTTCAAGAACTGGACCAGCGCTGAGTATTGTTTGTTCGACACCGCTGCCATGCGACCCTTTTTGACTGAGGGCGGTTAAGTGGTGCAGCAGAAAGTTTGTAGATTCTGTCTTGCCGGAACCACTTTCTCCACTGATAACAATGCACTGGTTTCTCTTTTCTTTAAGCATACAGTGATACGCCGCATCCGCTATTGCAAATATGTGCGGTGGTATGTCGGGACCTAATCTTCTATTTTGATAAAGCTTCACGTACTTTGGATTGTAAATTGGGTAAAACTTAAAGGGATTTAGAGCTATCAATATACTTCCGACGTATGTATATATGTTTCCAGCTAGAAACCTAGCACGGAGATTGTCCAATAAAGTTTGTTCGTTGAGATCCGGAAGTTGACAAAGATCAGGATATTCTTTGTCTCGTGGCTGATAGAGAAATCTGTTGAAGTAATCTTTTAAAAGTTGAGGATCCATTGGGAATCTGCTGTCAGTCCACAGATAATCCGGCTGCTTCTTTCTTAAGTAGAACCTAAGAAAAAAAAATCATAAGATTTTAATTAGGGAATAACGCTGCAGAGATGGATAGTAACAATAAGGAGTAATCAGATTTCAGTGATCTGCTGAAACAGAATTGTATTTTCAATAGTGAATGTTTAGTTGTAAATTTTTAAAAGACTTATGACAAAATCTTAGAAAAAGGAAGACTTATTCTTTACCTGTAGTATTCTTGCTGTGCAGCGTTTTTTGGCCAGAGTAACATGAGTGCTACAGGACACTCCGTGGGACCAAGTCTTCTTTCCTTACACTCCTGTCCAACGGAGTTGCCAACGACCTCTGCCAATTCGTAACCATTGGAAAGAGTAGCGTCTACCAATGCTAGCCTCTCGATAATGCATTCTACTATTTCCGCTGAAGATGTCTGCTTGGTGGCCTTGATAGATAGTGCCTCGTACTCAGGGCTCCACTCACCCACGAATACCTGCACTACTCCTGAACCACTACTGTCCATGTCTCCTAACCCTGAGAACGTAAGCAGTTACTTGATTAGCCCAACAAATTTTAAAGAAAAATAGATACAAGATACTATGTCTTGTGTGCACATATTACACGTCATTTTCTTTTATGTTAATGAATACCATGCTTACTAATCCTTAAAGTACAAATTTCCTTTTGAAAAGTAATCATAAAACGTGAAATACTTCCAACTGTATGCAATTTCAAATTTTTTAAAACTTGCAACTTGCTTAAATACATGGCTATACATTTTGAAGTTCCATTCTGTGCATCAGTGATAGTTTCTACTATATTATTTAGCAAGCCTTATTGCTTTGGATGTTTCGTTAATTCATAAAGAAAGATATTTGATCCAAAGTATAGTAGGAAGTAATATTAAATGTGAGTTAATTGTATATTGAAGTGCTTGTGAACCCCATTATAATTTAATTCACATGAGCACTTAAAAATTCAAATCAAATTTAACTAACTGAAAACAGTGTGTGGAGAGTAGAAAATCATGTCTTTAAAGTATGTATATATTTAAACTAACCTTATCCTTCTTAGGGTTAATAATTCTCTCTTCTGTCGTCCATGAAAAATTTGAATACAGCTCCTTCTTTCTCTTCCTCTCTTTGCTATGCCATAACATACACTGAATGATGAAAATACTTGAAATATCTTTTACAAATATTATTAAAGAACTTTTAATGCTTCAGCTTCATCATTGCTTGTATATCACGAAATTATTTTTATCGCCAGGATTGAATTTGAAAACTTATTAATGGTGATGTTCGTTTAAACGTTTTGCTACTTTTATCAGATTTAAGCAACAATTTAACTTGATATATGATGCTAATATCTCATTTTCCATTGCTTATTATGCACCATTTATATATTGTTCAGTATTTATCAAGTATTACTCAACTTTGCAATTGAGGTTCATGTCAATACGATAGAATGTCATATACTATTGCACCTTTTGATTAATACCTGCACCTAATTTCATTGATTAAATTACATGTAAATCTAGTGCTGTTAGTCGAAGATCCACTATTGCTTTTAAAGTTAAACGATCCTCTATTTAAGTAAGTGTGACACAATCAGCATTGAACATGGAAATTCCATCAGAACAAGCTTGTGAACTGTTACTATTATCACAAAGTTTGTGTGCGACAGTTTGAAACTATGTATGGGTTGTTTATTTGCTTGTTAAAACAAGCAGTAACTTAGTTTTCTCACTAGGACACAGAAATATCAATTTTTTGACAGATAGATTGTCTTTTCACATATTCTTTTCAGTATGTTGCTACAATTTTTACTACTACACACAGCTCTCATACCATTCTGAACTAGTGTAATTGCATGTCCATTAAAGCATTTGTCAGAGATTGTTATCTGAAATATAAAAACCAAAATAATCAATAAAAATATATGTAACATTCAACTATAAGAACTTATTACATAGACAAACAGATATATACTGAACTGTTTGGTTAAGAGCCATAATTTTGAAACATGATACATGTGGTAACTAGTTGATGATATCGTGCTTCTAAGGACTTCTATGTAAATTCATTTGGAAAAGAGCCAACATTTATTTTCAACAAACTGCCTTCTAGATTTAGATATAGCATAAACATGATTCCACTGACAATATAATACTGCAAGATGTAATCTTAGCAACAATAGTCAGTATAATAAACTAGGGATCAATAAGCATCGATAACCAAAATATTATTATTAGTTGGCATTGGCACAAATTAAATACTGTTAAATTTACCAAGTTATTATGACATTTGGAGCAAATACTACAAAAATACTTTGCACCAGTGGATATTGATAATGTAGAATGTCAAATTTCTCTATGCTCCATTAAAATCACAGCAGCGAAGTACTCTGGTTTACATTCATAACTGATACATAAAAAGTTAACTCTCACTGCAGAACTAATAACATTTCGTTCGAGTATTACTGAAATCAATGAAAGAATGGTTCTTTAGGAAATGATGAAGACAATAAAGATCTTATGGGAGAAAAGTAGTAGTTTCTAGTTCTCTGTTTAGAAAACTTACAGAATGTTTACATGCACGTTATGCAAAAGATATGCGCATCCAAGAACACCTCGAGGTAATACTTTGATTGAGGTTCCCAGTATGGAAGAATTTTTAGCGATACTCGCGGTAACTGTATCCGTGACATACTCGAAATCGGAAATAAGAACCAGCGACAACCCTGGACCACGACTGACATTCAGGCGCTGATGAGAAAACCGAGGTGTGCCGATTGGCTGAAGATCGCAAGAACAGAAACATCGACCAATCAGGTAGATCGCGGGGTTCTTGCTCGTGTGAACGTCAACACTAAACCGGACCTAAGTCAAGGAATTCTATCGAATACAGAGACAAACGTCAGCTCAAAAGGAAAATACACAAGAGATACTTTGGTTAAACCAGCGAGAATCGTCCTACCTTAGAGAAACGCGTTTAAAGTTGAAAGCATAACGCCTAACATCGTACCCGTGGCACAAAGAGAGCTCCTTCGGGACTAGGGCATGCCTCTCGGGCCCAACCCCCAACACGATCTGCTATCTGTCCCCGTTTTCTTGTTTCTTCGCATTCGCACAGTCAGTACCTGTTCCTCGCTTGGAGTACTGTCGCAAGACACGCCACGAGATGTAAACGCGCGCTTCGTGCTCGCGTACCCGTCTTTCTTTCTTCCTTTCTTTCTTACTTGCTCTCTCTCTCTCTCTCTCTCTCTTTTCCTCTCCCTCTCTCTCTCTCTCTCTCTCTTCCTCTCCCTCTCCTGCTCACTCCCTCTCTTTTTCTCACTCTCTTTATTCTCTCTCTCTCTCTCTTTTCCTCTCCCTGCGTACCCGTCTTTCTTTCTTCCTTTCTTTCTTACTTGCTCTCTCTCTCTCTCTCTCTCTCTTTTCCTCTCCCTCTCTCTCTCTCTCTCTCTCTCTTCCTCTCCCTCTCCTGCTCACTCCCTCTCTTTTTCTCACTCTCTTTATCTCACTTCGTCTATCTCTTCCTCTTTAGCCGTTTTCGCACGTAGAGGATCGTTTGCAATACGGAGAGCCCGTCAGTTTGACACTCGTTTAAACTTTCTGATAATCACTCACGCAATGCGCCGACGAACGCATACGTACGTTATCAAACCGGTTGATCATTTTCGTGAACCGATCACCGATGACACGGCTGACGGCTGACGGCTAGGCCCTTGCCCAGTTATCGTCCTTCGACTCCTCTCGGAATCCTGCGTCCCGATACGTCCACCATTTCGATTTCCGTGATCACGTGGTACTGCCTTGGCCTGTGATTGGTCCAAGCTTCCTCACCACGTGATCGACCGCGAGCACAACCATCGATGGAGCTGGAGAGCATAGACTCTGACGAGACGGCGCTCTGTCTGCTCTTTCCCAGAGATGAGTGGGGAGATGCACAACGCTCCGGTTTCAGGCGATACCAAAAGCATGGCGCTAAATCGTAGCGGCGAGTCCGGGAGTAGGATTTCGTGATCATCGCCTCTGTCGATGTTACAGATTTCGCGAAGCCGCGCGGGTCATGATCATCGATACGATGCTCGTTTAATACTAAATTAAATTTATTATAGATATTTATCTATGATATTTCAAAATTTCTCTTTGAACTGTTCTCGGTCGTTTCATTTACCAACGAATTTCGCCATTCATTTTTTAATGTTCATTTTCGGCATGATAAGACGTAAAGAGTGAAAACCAATATTTCTATGCATTTTTTATAACTTTGAAATTTATTTGAATATACACATTTATTAGCGCATTACGTCCATACCAATGTTTAGGGTTCGGTTGGATGGAAGACCTTGCTGCCCCGCCTGTTTATCAAGAACGGTTTGTGAGGGGTGGCAACTTTTTCCCCACCACCGAGCAATCCATTCATTTTCGCGGACTGCAATATCGGCTGGAACGATGATCATGACCCTCGCGGCTACGCGAAATCTGTAACATCGACAGAGGCGATGATCACGAAATCCTACTTCCGGACTCGCAGCTACGATTTAGCGCCATGATTTTGGTATCGCCTAAAACCGGAGCGTTGTGCATCTCCCCACTCATCTCTGTCTTTCCTTATTCGTTCACCCAACGTATCCCCATCGAATCTCTTCGTCACTACAACAGTTAGTTACGGTTTTAGCGGCATCTGTGTGTCTTGCTTTTCATTCTCATAACCTACCATTACCTACTTTTTTTCTTACCTACAAAGCGCGGCCGTCGGTACTTTACTACATTTGCCGAAGGAATCATTCGGATTATGCACCGTAAGGCATTTTTTTCCTCAAATTTCTTATTTACGGTACGTCCGGTTTAAGTTCAATTTTAGAAGAAATTTTTCTAATGCAAAATATAATGATAAGTCATTTGATGATACTAAAAACAGTTTTGAAAAATGTGCAAGGCAGTTATAAAGGCTTTTTATATAATATGTTTATATAAATACTTTAAGTATAGAGCTGAGGTTGTTTTCTAATGTAATTAATATTATTGATTTTTCTGTCTAACGCAAAGTTATAAAATTAAAGTTAAACGTAAGAACCTGGGAAATTTGTGGTAATTTGGAAGAAAAAACTTTTCCAAGTAAAGACAATGAGAAGAAACACGAAAATAACAGTTACTTTCTATAATTCCGTCAATAAAGTCGTATAGTCTAAGAATAGAATGCCTACGAAACAATGCTGTGTGTGGGTCTCAACGGGACTCGGGATCGAACGTAAAATCAGCTTTGAATAGTTTATCACAGTAATTACATAAATCTGTACATACCATACGAGCACAGAGAAACTTTGCTACTTTCCAGTTTTTCTATCTTCCCTTAAATAATAAAAGTTCATTATTCAATTATTCTTTTATTGCCAAACGCTATAGCTTTTATTAGAGTATCTTAAAGAATTTTTAACCACACACTGCATGTTGATGAAATAAATATTTGAAAATTAAAAAGGTGCAATATTACTTTTAACGTGCATTTTTCTATTTCGAATATTTCACTGAATTTTTGTTTAAATTGGTTGACAAGGAATTGCATATAATTAAACATATATATAATATATTTTTGAAGCATAGTAATATAAGTTTCATACATTGATTATTTTATGAAAATATAACTATTATGGTTGACTATGTGGCGAGACAAAGTTTATTAGAAATTTATACAACAAAATTTGGATCACATGTTTATTGAAAATTTCTAAAGCACCCTTTTCTCATCGTTAAATAAATGGACCCAAACATTAGGATTTCTTAAGAGTTCAAATTATGTAACTAAATATATACTTAGTCGGTAATGCAGCGACTATAGATAAACGAAATTGATAATACCAACGTCTATACTCAAATTATAGCAAAACATGAAACCACAATGCTACCTTACTCAAAATAATAATGCATAAATACTCAAAGAAATGTTAATTTTATAATTTCCTTCAAAATCTTCAAACTCACCATACGATTAAACAACACTATACTATTAATCTCAAAAATTCGTCCGTCACGAATTTAGTTTGATCAAATCTTCAAGATTAACTTCCAAAATTTATTCAGAATCCGCATATATCTTAAGCAACAAAATTTTCTAAAAATTACTAGAATTCTACATATTACACCCTCCCTTAATCTTCTGCTTATCTTTAATTAGAACCATGTATTCATAACGTCCATATTTAGCATGTTTCCAGATTCAAAGTTTACAGCAATCCTTGCAGTGATAACAAGTAAGCCGTGAAGAACCATAAGATAAAATAACTTTAGCAGGAAGTGGTACCACACGGACAAACATAGCCACATAGGAAAGTAGAACAAAAGACGAAAGAAGGAAAAAGACCGAGAGAGCTGAAGGAAGTAAATGAGTAAGTAAGATAGAGAAATAGATAAAGATAGAAAACAGGCTCGTAACTCCAATCGATTTCAGAACGTCCTATGGTGAAGAATTCTCCAAGCTCTGACAATGGTTACTTCCTAAGACGTCATCCATTCCGCATTCCTGAAGGCTTCGGCGGTTTTATACCTGAGTCGACCCTTTTGAAGTGTCTATATTGTCACAAGCTGTTTGGGTTCTGCAGAAATGATTATCTTCAAATATCTCCTCGGCTCTCACCAGTTGAGGTTAGGTTGTGGGTCTACCATAAGAAAGAATAAAATCACGACAGTTCTACTAGCCCTCCAGTACAGTCAACGTTAATTTGGCAATAAAAAATCTCCATTAGATGTTTAACACTCAAGAATTCATACTGAAGGATAAACTCTAAGTAAGTCTATACTCTAATGATTTACCAACGTACGTTTTTTTCATTTACAAAAGTTCTAAAATATTAATATCCCTCAGAAAACGAAAGTATCTGCGTATCTAGGCGTGGGAAATGGATTAAAGATTTATGGAAGATAAACATTGATTTTAACATATGAGGTAAGGCGGTCAGATTGTTGTATCTGTATGTTCCTTTTATTCTTCTTGTTTCTTTGTCTGCTATCTAGAAATCTTGGAGTATGTTTGGCGAAGTGCCTCGCGGGTCATCAAGCTCCTGCCAGAAGAGGTTATGTGAGGATGGTGGGGCTGGCCGAGCGGAAGGAGGGACGCACGTCTATCGATGACCCTTGATTCTGTAATAGCTGACAATCCTCTATTTTTACTCATTTTTTATACTGTCTATACAGGGTGTCCCAAAATTACCTGACCAACGGGGTATGTCGGTGTTTGGGAGGCACCACTGATCACGAAAATTACCTCCCTTTTGTCCGGAAGGTCATAGTTTTTAAGTGGGTGCAGGTCAAAGTTGACCAATCAGAGGGAGGCGTCAAGAGAAACGTAGGCACCTACGAACTCTGAGTTTTCTTTCCTCGCTTTTGTTTCTCAGTGGCTTCGGCATGGAGACTAGAGTACTCTAGTCTCCATGGGCTTCGGGCAGGATGACGTCAGCCGAAGACATGCCTATGGGAAACAAGAAACAAGCTACCGAGAAACAAAAGCGAGGTAAGAAAACTCGAAGTTCGTAGAGCCTACGTTTCTCTTGTCGCCTCGTTCTGATTGGTCAACTTTGACCTGTTCCCATTTAAAAACTATGACCTTCCGGACAAAAGGAAGGTCATTTTCGTGATCAGTGGTGCCTCCCGAACACCGCCATACCTCGTTGGTCAGATAATTTTGGGACACCCTGTACAGATCTTATCAAATTTTTATTTCCACATATCTTATTCCTTAAGCGGATGCTTGTCCCATTCTGAAGGAGAACAATTTTTAAAAATAAATTGAAAGTACTATTAGGTACTATTAATAATTAATATGTAATGGAGGTTGATATCCCGTTTACCACTCTGTACCTACATTTATGGAACGGCTGCCCTGTCTGATCAATACAGCTGCAACTGCTCGTACACTTTGCTTCGCTCGGCATATGATCCATATATGTATATGCTTAAAGGCGGGAACACACTGGTTCCACGCGACGCCAAGCTTGGCGATATTTACATTGTACGTGGTATATCTGTATATGCATTTTTTTATCTTTCTCGCACTTATATGTAAATATCAAAACCTGGCGTCACGTGGGAAAAAATGTATTTCGGGTTTAACTCTCAAATGTGCAGATACTTTTCTTTCAAGACAGACAAACACGCTTTTTAAACTCAGAAATGAGGACAAAATGAAAAATGGATGTGCCATTTGAGTTTTTTTGTTCTAAAAAAATTATTTCAAAGGTTTATTATGTAACATCTATATATTCGAATTATAACCGTATCTATGTAAGTATTTGTTATTTTTAGATTTCATCAGTGGAGATGATTTTTAATTGACTTTTTGCTATGCGAGGATTAATCAGATAAAATGTTGGCATGAAATTGTCTTTTTGTAGATTCGCTTTTTGTGTGACATTTATCGTGCTAGAAATATGCTGATTTGAAGATATATAAAGAAAAAAAAAGCTCAATGCCTGACTTTCATAAAGTATGAACAATACGCCTGAAGTGAATACAGAATGTAAAACTCAAACAATGGCTACGCTCATGTTCACTGAAGCTTTACTTACGTGCTTATGAAAACCGTATACAATTGTATATCTCTATATGGTAAGCGTATTTGTAACGAGGAAGATCATATTCAAAGTCCTGAAAAATGGAATATGAAATTTAGCGTAATTCCATTTTATTGCCTTGCTTCTATTTGCTTTCCTTTTTCAGTCTTATTATCAAAGTCACTAAGTTTGTGTTAAGTAAATATATATATATATATTTATTATTAAATAAATTAATATTTACGCATGAGCACATGGCGACGTAAGGATAAGAATAGTGTAAACATTATGATTTCATAACTTAAAAGATTTGATCTCTTTGATTTAAGAGGGAGCCCTAGTGCCATGTTGTGCATAGGGATGATATCAGAAAAAACATCTTATTGAAGTAAACATTTGCGTGGGAATTATGCCGACCAAATTTCTGAGGTTTAATCGAAGTTTTCTAATAATGTTTTGATATCTACTAAGAGGTATGTATGTATATATACATTGAAACAACAAACGGGCTAAATGAGCTTTCGAAGCTTTAGGGCTTTATTGAATATTTCAAAATTACATGGCACAATTTAATTACGAATCATAGAAAATAATCCTGATGGGAAAAAAATTTGATAGTAGCACCTGCAACTCAGTGGACAAATCAAAAAGTCAAATGAAATATCTGACAAAGCTGTAGGAAATGTTGAATTTGGTTTTAAAGATAATGAAATAAAATTTGGAAAATATATTTTTGATATTTTTTTAAAATTCATATCTTTCCTATTACAAGCATAAATATACTTTTAGACTTTTAGTAACCGCGCAACAGTTGCCCTCTGGTTGTTTGTTCCTCTCGATGCAGCCCATCAATCTCGAGTCTCCTGGCGTGCGATTACGTCTAATTAGCACGTCAACGTTAATTACTCCCAAAAGTGAGATCTCGCGAAATATTCGTGCGAACCGTAAGCTCAGCCAGTTGGCGTGTACAAAAAAAAAAAAAAATAACAAGTCCTCTCAGACACTCCCATCTACTTTATTGCCATAGACAAGGCAAGTAGAAAATGAATCCACGAGTATTTCTAAAAACGGCCTATAAAACTGTCCGCGTCATTGTTAACGTAGTGAACGCGACATAACGTTGTCTTTTTAAAACTGAACTTTTTTTTTTCAGAAAATTTTCTTTTTTCCTTACCTCCTCAAATTTTTCTTCTTTCTCATTCAGCCCTCTCATTACTTATCTCTGGATTCCCACTGACGTTTTACCTCTCCTACGGCCTTGTCGAGTCTTATCTTTTTTCTCATTAGTCCTCGTTGTTTCCCATTACGGAAATACCTTTGCTTAACGCGAAATTACGAGGCACTCGATTAACCGGAAGTCAATTCACACGTAATATGAGTAACGAGTACGAGCAGTGATTTACATGCATGATCAGGTTGATCCTCAGGCAGTGAAAATCTGTAATGGAAATTTCGAGTATATTAATCGATAATACTCGAACTTTGCTTCGACTTTGTCCTACGCGATCTTGACGACGAAGAGAATAATAGAGATTGTTTGGAAATTATAAATTTTTATATACTATCGATAGAACGATTTTACTTTATTATTATGTATTGTAGAACTTATTTTTGGGGAATTTTCATTTTTGCTTATTTGTACTAGCATGAAAATTTTACTAGACATATTTTTACTGTAGATCTGTGAGAGTTCATTTTTTTTTATTGTCTAAGCTGCGCTACTGGTGGTTGATCTTGGTACTTAAAACGAAACTACAGTTATGTACATTTTAATATCGCTCACAGCTGGCTTGAAGGAATTGAAGTCGGTAAAGTCAGTCAACAGAGTCCATCGCTCACTGTCGCTTACGTAAAATAAATGTACAAATTGCTTCGAAAAAGGTTTATGTTAGAAATTCTATCAAAGAAATTTTGTTTCTAGATGTTTTTGGCCTCCTCTTTTAACACGAGGGTGCAAGTATCTATCATATTTCATATTACGTATGTTAGTGAGGGATATAAGGTACATTTATTTTGTGACGTAAAGTTAGTTTATTTTGAAAAATAAATTCCGGTACGAAAATCAATTTTTTTTAAATTTTTATATTGTGAACTGAATGGCTTGTTTTGAGATATCTGCACGTAGTGTACGGAACGAATTATTTTAGAATAAAAATGAAATTTTGAAAAATAAAGAATTTGCAAAATATAATTATGACGACACTTCGTGAGAAATAGGTAGATGCTATTAAATGAAAAGGATATTATTCCTTTTTTAAACTGTCCTGGCTCGATAACTAATCGTGAGTCAGCCCTTTTAAACAGGACAAAAATTAAAGTCACTTAATAAACATAGTGTGCTAAAGACATGCTAAAAAATGTTGCTTTACTTCCTGCAGTAAAGTGAAAAAGTAATAACAGACTAGTTATTCATCAGTATCCGTATTTCGTATTTTCTGACCTGAATAACGTACCTTCCACAAGATGAAGACCCTGGTAAATAAAATAAATTAAAAAGAAAAAAAAATGTAAAATGTTCAAATCATAAATACAAGTAATTAAATTAATAAAATTGTTCCAAAAATTCCACGAGCCTAATTCCAAAATGTTTCTGTCACAAAGAACCCATCCTTTCCGATTTGAAAGTCTATTGCAAGAAGCCACAGCGTTCCAGTCGCCGAGGAATTCATCGACCAAACAACTTGACTTACGCTCATTATACGAGAGACACGTGACTAACCCTTAACCTCCAGGTGAGACCCTTTTAATTCGTTGGTTGACAAAAAAAAAGCGACAAGCAGAAATAAATTTCTGAGGAAAACCAACCTCGAGCACGTATACTTAAATGTATTTAAAAAATGTCTCACAGGGTACACGTGTCACTTACGAATAAAGCTCCAAATATATCGTGGAAGGTTCCCAGTCAAGATACAGGCATAACCAAAAATAAAAAAGCTTGAGAACCTTGCCGAAGAATGACTTGCAAGAAGAGAGGAACTTTCCATTAAAGAGAAATTCGCGGTTCGACTGTAGTGAAGGTGGCTAAATCAGCGGTGATTTGAACTTGGTCGAATGAAGTTCTGAGAAGTTTCCGATGAATAAAATGAATGACTCATCACGCCACTGGGTAACTGACGAAAATCCACGAAGTGCCACACAAATTGAATATCAATAAAGACCGTCATAAACGATTCCTCGTACCTTATTTTTGTATGAATTGTTCCCTCAGTATAGCGTTCATAGGAACTAGGAACTACCGAGAATTATTTTGTTGTTCCTACTATAGTTCCCAGTAGACGATAGCTATGCGAGTAGCTACAGTTTGACACGAGTAGTAGAGTACAAGAGTGAATCAAACATAACGGACATTGAGTAGTACGAGTCGAGACTGGGCAGACCGAGCAGCTGGTGCAAAGTTAAAATATATCTATAGCTACTGTCCGACTTTAAATTTAGAGGTATCATTGTCTTATGGCTTACAACGTAGAACAGTATTCTGTGGATCGAGAGGTGATCTGAAACTATCAGTATTAAACAGTAATAACTGTGGACTGTTTCGTAACGCTCATGTAAAAAACGTTGTACAGGTCAATTCGTTTGAAAAAGTTTTTACAATTATGATATCCAGAGGGAATCGTTTGTATCGCGTGTGATTCTCGAATGGTTTATTTTCGTAAATAATGTGGTTACGCCTCACGCGACATAGAGGTGTGTCTACGAGTTACACGAAGTGACTTTTGAATAAACTATGAAACGAGAGCTAGATCACTTTAGGTATATGTATATACAACAATCTTGGGACTGCGTTTTGGCTTTATTGGAAAATTTTAGTGGACTACCTATAACGAGAATAGAAATGAAATTAACGATCGGATCATTAATGGGTCTAACGTGGCAACGGTAGTGGTATTCCGTATAATTTATAGCCAGTACGCGAGAACAGAACGGAACGTAACGGAAGTCGGGTCATCGGATAATCGACGGAGCAGTAATAACCAGAAGCTGAAGGAAATCATCGGGAAAAGCTTTGTCCACATGCCGGTAAGAACGTTAGAGATTGCAGAAAGCAAACCGAACGATTGCACAAACCGTTCGACGACGTCTGGAAGAGGAGTTTCGAAGTGAAAAGCTCGATAGAGTAGTGGCGGGTATGTATATAGGAGAACGACGATAGAGAGTGGAGGAGGACGGTTACCCTTCGGGTACTTCCGTGAAATCCGTCGAGCGTTCTCGGGGGCGTCGTCGCTGTGGGGCGCCGTTGACGTAGCAAGATGGCGGCGGCGTGTCGGAGGCGTCTCCGTTCGCACAGTGCTCGACGTCGGGCAGTCCGCGTAAGCTCGCAAGTAACACTTTCATCGAGGAGGTGAACTCGTAGTGAATCAAGAATAATATAAAAAGAAGTACCGGAGAAACGAGAGTTAACTGGCACAGATTCCGCAACATCACCGTCGTCCGCGTTTTGGTTACACTGTCGTGGTAATAATCCTCGTTGTTCCCGTCGTCTGATTTCACGAGAACGTCGTCGTCGTCGCTGTCGCCGGTGTTGTGCTAATAGCGATTATTGTCATAATCTCCGTCGACGTGGTTCAGCGTAAGCGCGTCCCGGGAAATGCGCGTGTCGCGTAGTGCAAGGGTGACACGGAGTGCGGCTCTCTCGTGACGAAGCGTGACGTGAACCAGCTAGGAAGTGGAAAGGAGGAAGTCAAAGGTGGAGGCGTCGAAGGAGCTGGAGGAAGACGTGGGTGCACGCTAATATGATAACCGTAGAAAGATCTCGAGTGGTAGCGGTGGTTGGTAGATCCTGCGGGAATCCACCCGTTCTCGATTCGAGAGAGTCCTGGAGGATGTTATCCGGGTTGACGGCGCTGTACGACGGGAGCAGCAACAGCATCAGAAACAGCAACAGCATCAGCAGCGGCGGTGGTTCCTTCTCGGTACCGCATCAGGGGTGCATCCTTCTCGCTGGCCGTAAACGAGACGGCAGTTACGGACGGCGTTGCTGCACGGGTCTGTGCCGTTGCGCGTGACCAAAGCCTTACCGAGTCGATGCAACACAAGTGTGAACTCAACATAGTACTCTCCGTTATCGTGACCCTATCTGCGATCCGTGATAAGCAGAGATCTCTCGCAACTCGAGAATTAAATTTCGTCGCGTTTTCTCGTCTCTGTACTGGACTCGCCGACGCGACACGCGTTCGTCCTTAACCTCAAAACGCTAGAAATCGCGAGGATTGAGCTCGCGAGTATCTTGCGTCCTTAAAAGACGCTCGAGAGCATCTTTCCCTCTTGTTTTCTCCATTCTTTATAACAAACTTTGATCCCCTCCTTATCCTCGTCCTTATCCTTGTTCTCGGTCACATCTTTTTCTTCAATATTACAACGCCATTTCCACTTACGTTCCGAATGCTTCGAAAGTACCGGACGCACTGGACGCATCGTGTGCACGCGATCCTAACCAAACTGCTCAGGTTTCTCGATCGATGAACAATATAGGAATTTAGAAAGACGTAAGACTCACGGTTGCTTGTGCTGATCTCGTGTACAACGTGTACGTGTTATACCGGAAGGAGGCGCGATTTCTGACATCTCTTCGAATATACGGAAATCTCAACAGTGTGCTTTTCTGTGCCAACGACGTTGCTTTCGTCTAGCTAAGTTTTTCAAGAGTGTACTTTGTCTTAGCTTTCTCTTTCTCCTTCTCATTGTCTTTTTTATTTATACACACCTCTCCCTTTCTCACTCACTCACTCTCTCTTTGTCTCGTCATCTTTCTCTCAGCCAGCGACGGTAGTTTTCCTGACTTTGGGACCGGCAACATGTCACTGCTCAGCGTAACTGGTGAGTGATCAAACCTTTTTCTTAATTATAAGCTTTTCGACTACATACATGCGTTCACCGGAAGAGGTTAGGTAAACCTTTCCGGTGACGTCACTCCTAGCTAAGACAATCTCATGTTTCTCTAATGGGAAATCTATCGGAAACAGTTTTCCATTCTCGTTTATTATCTCGCGCACGTGACATTCGCCGGCGAATAAAAGTTATTCCCGACTACGCGCATTCACAATTTAAATGAATTCTACTGTTTAACTGTTCTAAAACATTTTAATTTACAATTCGCAATACTACCCGATAAATACAAAAAATATTTGTTTAACAATCCGACCTAAGGAAACCATTGATCTTCATATAATTAACGTAGATCAACAAACAAGGTAATTTCCGTTTTTCAACTGTATCCAGTACCGGAATAAAATAAATATACCTATATTTCTCAACATTGCCCAAGGCAACAGTACAATTAAGACGTGCCATTAGAAAGTCCTGCAAACGTGCCAGGATAACACGTACCAATCCTGACGTCTTGAACTCGCAGTAGTTTTTATCAGTACTTAGTAGATTACTTGAATAACACGAGAAATTCTGATGAAAAAAAAACAACTGATGCCTAAAATATGACATGATACCAAGAAAGGTTGAATTAATTATTTATAAATATCTATATATAGGCTATATCGAATCGCTAGACTGTATGTATATATATATCTCAGTGGATATGATATATCTTTATAACAGAATTGACGTAAATCTTTAAATGTACACATCAACGATTCACATAAACGCAACTGCGCCTGCCTGCGTCTGTTCACTTAATATGTAAAGCTACGTACATTCGTGCATATACCAAGTCATGACTATCACTAGAAGCTGCTACGAGCGTAGTGCAACGGTTGACCTCAGCGAGCGGGGTCATGCCCTCCTCCCACTCTTTTACTCCTTCAGCTCTCTTTCTACTCAACCCCCGAGAACCACCTCCCCCCCCCCTCAACACCCCACACTCAATATTTACCTGGCTACCGATGTACACGATATCGTGAACTCGCATTAAGGTACGCAAATATATATATATATATATATACGGACACGTAGTCGTATTCGCACTTGCATTCGCAAAATCGACCGGCAAAGATATACGAGCGGTAATTGCCATCTGGTTCACTCAGGTCAGCGTCTTCTCCCTTTCTGAAAAGTTGCTGCTACCGCTCTTGCTAAGAAATTACAATTTCCGCGACGTAACGTATATACAAAATCCATAAATCTGGATAATGATGCTTTTTGTAGATTGCTTTTTCCTAAAGGTTCAGAATTAATTGTCGCACATCAAAGGTTCGTTACTTGCCGAGAGATATTCAAAGGAGTGTAATATAAGTAGTCAGGTTAGAAGCATAAAATTATACGAATATCGTATAAGCGTTGACTCGTTAGACGAATATGAAAATTTTTGATTTTTTTTTTAACACTAGATTTACCAGACCAGTCATTTTGACTGGTCGTGCAATTTCAATTCAAAATTCCTACTACATATATCATTTGACTTCAGAAATGATGTTATGGCTTTTGTAGCTACAAGTAGAGAATACATTTTATAAACTTAATGTTATTTTATATACATTAGTAACAAATATAATTTTTGTTATTGACATTTATACCAGTACCAGTCAAAATGAATAAATAGATGGTAAATCTAGTGTTGATGACAAATGATAAAAATTACAAATTTCGGTATTCTCAATACGGATATAATTTTGAATAATTTTCTTTCTTTTTTTTTTTTTACCACGCAGTCCCCAGTCGCGAAATACCAGTACGCTTTAATGGAGACGGATCGCGACAATAATGGCAACAATCAGTTTCAAGCGCTCGTTACGCGACGAATTCAACGCTCGCTGAAGGTTTCGTGTCGTTGAGTTTATTTGACAGACAATGAATTTTCGTGAAAACGGTCATTCGAATTATCGTGGCTCAACCAAATTGTAAGTCTTGTTCAAAGTCAAAGGAACGTCGCGAGTACCGGATTTCTTTGTGATATTAATTGTCGTGAATCTAATCCTCGTTTGATCCGTTAAATCCTCGAGCGGGATAGTAGGCGTGGGTAGCGTCGAGGGGAAGCTGAGGAAAGGAGGAAACTTGTCACGCATTACCAGTCGATCAAATCGATGAAAACTCGTAGGAATTCATCATTCCTTTGGTGCCCTTTTGGGACTACGAATTCAGTGGTTTAGCATAAACGGCTTGGGACGACTCGAGTGGAATGAACTTCGGTCCGCTTTGATCGGTTCTGCTATACTACCTTTAGTCGGCTACTCCGTATACCGATCTACCATTACGCTAGTCTTGCAGGACATTGAAACTCACCTTCGCAGCTGGACAAGGTTTTGCAAGGGTGAATGGCTAAATAGGTGCTCAGCCACTATGCTCGACCCTACGGGGCCTTCGTAGGGAGTAACTGAATTTCATCAAAGCTTGAACATGCGACATTACTCGAGTGGTCCATGACTTAACAGACAGATTGTAACTCCATTATACCGATTCATTTTTGATTTTAAGATATTTTTTATAATCGTTATACAAATTTTTGCAGTATTTTCGAAAATACATTGACTTTACGAGGAGTCAAAATCTTGGGTAAATATTCGCAAATAGGAACGAACTTATGTACTTGATCCTAGTACGAATTTGTACGTGATTTTTTATTTCCCTGTGTATCCCTTTTAAGTCGCTTGGACCTGGTCTAACTTTATGAAAAAAAGGTCAATTAAAATTCGTTACTTGAAGCGATCGAAAACAAAAAAGCTAAATTTGCACTATAATGTGGTCGAGTTAGGTGCAGAAAATTAAGCGCGACAACGACGGTTTCAGCAAGATCTCAGATACGTTAACTTCTACGTTTTGTTTTGTACAAATGGAGTTTTTTGTATTTTCAAACCAACCATAGTGCCCTGAGCCAAAAATAAGTACTGCTTCGGAGTAGCTCATGGGTCTGATTGCGTTTTACAATAGGAAAGTCAGCTCGGGAAGTATCGATGATAGTTGGAAGCGAAAACTGCGAAACAACATGAGATTCAACTTGAGGCAAAAGAGGAGGGAAGTAATAAGTACAGGAACAAAGTATTGCCGAGTGGACAGTTGACAATGAACAATAGACAGAATATAATGTAAAGTAACAGTGAAAACAAAAAAAAATACAATGCAGTGTCCCACAAGGAGGTAAACACTCCCAAAAAGTGTAATCAATCAAAATATCCCTGGTATAAATTTGGTTCAATTAATCCAGAGCCTGTTTAGGACCCCAATAAGTAAAAGCAGACCTAGTCAGGATCCTCATCAGGTCCTTGATTTTCATAATAAAATGTGCACTGGGGATGAAGTCGCTTTTGATCAGAGTTCAATTGATGAGATCTTTCGATTGACTGCGTCCCCTAAAGATGAATCCAGGAGATACGACCTGGTCTTTCATGAATCACGATCCGACTCTTGATCATGTGACTTCCGCCTTTACATTCGCGAATACAGAAAGTCCTAATGTTATTTGACTCCTCGAACGAACTTCCAGGAGTAGCTGCGAAATCTACTTTGAGTCGCGAAGCGACTCCTGATCTTGCGTCCTCTAATAAGGATACCGAAGATCTAAATTTGCGTCGAGTCGTAAACCGACCCATGCTCAGGTGACCAACCTCGGACATATCGGCTTACTTGGATACTCGGGAACTGAACTTGCCAGGCTTGTATGTACCTTATATTCTAATGTAAAGTATTTTACAATTATTTCAATCACCTTCCAGAAAGTGTCTCTATTCCTTATCGTTATCGCCAGTCTTCTCATGGCCACTCATATGATCATATGATGATGACGATGATGATCATCGCGCTATACCATAGTGGGAGGATCCTGTTGATCAGCCGTAACCCGAGTAAAAACACAAGCACTGCTTCCGGTCCTCGTAGGTCTGATTTCGTTTTCCTTAGTCCGATCCAGGTCTCATCCTTCCATACATAGGTCCTAATGAGTCTGATCTCGTTCTTTTGACCCGAGGCCTATTTGTTTCGTGTTCACACCCGAAGCAAAACTTAAAAATCCTGTTCGCGTCCTATCGAGAAGACCGAAAAAGAGTCCAAGCAGGACTTTGGTCTTGACCCGAGGCGTCTTGTCTCCATCAGATTAGCGATGCGTCTATGACCCGACGGGAGTATTTTTAGTCAAGGATTAATCGTCCAGGGATGATTAGATTCTGACTAAAAAAAAATATCAGTATCGGCAGTACACTCCAGCATCCGACCTACCCCTGGACCCTCCCTCCCGATGTCTCTAGAGAATGTACCCCTTTCCAATTCTCACGCATACTACGAAATCACTTCATTAATCATAGACTCATTGCTCCCACACGATATTCCCTTTCACTTTTTTTTTTTTTTTCAGGGTGATAAATCGTTTTTGGAATTTCATTTGACATCTGTGCTTCACTACCAAATCAATTCGGTACTTTCGTAATTTTCTCTGGTTATAATGCGCGTTGTACATTTTTATTTAATTTTTGATCATCGAACGCATTGAAATACCACTTTGTTTTGATGCTCGATATTTTATTTATTTTTGTACCGATTTATAGAAGCTGGTTAACCACTACACTAGAAATTGATTCTAGGGGAATGGCGTCCGAGACAGCATAGGGAATAACACGGGAAAATTTATGATGTCTCGGACATCTTTTTTCTACTCTTTTTACATGGACGCAACTTATTGGCCATTAATGACGTCGATAATTGAATATGAACTGACGCTGCGACCTTTACGTGAAGTGGAAGCCCTTCGGCCTTTAGCTACTGATTTTCCTGTGAGGCCACTCGCATCGCACGAAGGGCGTGGGGTTAATTGCATGCAAGGTGGTGCATCAGGTTTATCGAATTATCGAACCT